GAATCCCCCAGCCAGCATGGCTGGCTGGGGAATTCTGGGAGTTGAAGTCCATTCATCTTAAGGTTGCTGAGGTTGAGAAACACTGCTGTAGAGGCTAAAAGGAAGGAACTGAGCTGAGATCATCAAATTGTAGAGAGTTAACGGAGGGGTCATAAAGCTTTCAGTAAGACAAAGTGTCCTTCAAGTTGGACTCTACTTCTGTGACTACCCAGTCATGTCCATGTAGTTTTCCTGGCAACACTATGGAGCAGTTTGGCACTCTCTTCTTTCAGGATTTTATTTTGGAACTTCCCAGTCTAGCTTTCGGACCCCAAATACCTTTGTGGTCTCTCATCCAAGTGTTCTGGTCTTGCATGGTTTTTTGGAGATCAGCCCAAGCCTTCTGGACTCTGCCAGCTAACTGGGTTCAAGGCAAACACCCAAACCTTGACATCCAGGTTCTTCTCCCTCCACAGAAACACTTTTCATTGAATGGCAAATGGATTGTGCCAAATATGTGGGACATTTGCTTGAGAATCTGATTACAAGGCAGCGGGGTGGGCTAAGCCCCAAAGGCCAAGCTCCATTAACACATATACAGACACCCCCCCCCCATGCTCACCCCTCTGAACTTCCCCTCTTCCCTTGGATGCACTGGTGCTCCTGACCAAGGTCTGGACAATTGAATTTCAGCTCATGGCAAGGCAACTGGAGGTTAGTAAACAATCTGGTCTTAAAACAGCTATCACATCTATGATTATTTCTTAATTATAAATAATTTCCAAGGAAAACACTTTAGTATGTTTGCAATTTAAAGACCATAAAAACTGTCCTGAAAAAGGGGTGATTAGGGGGATTTTCCTCTGGCATATGGAGTTCCACCAACAAATTATAACAGAAAGTATCTTGTTTATCCCCCAAACCTCAGAATCCTTATGAAGTATTCCCTGGCTGGGTTCACACATACTTCTAATCCAGCAGTTCTCAAATATTTTGGTCTTAGGACCCCTTTACCATCTTAAAAATGACCGAGGTCATTTTGCCAATGTCCGAAAGTCTCTGGATGTATCCAGAGTGGGGTCCAGGGATATTCTGGGGACCGGAGAGGGCAGGTGACTGGAAGGCATGGCCTCATTCCCTCTCCTCACACTCCCCAAAGCTTAAATTGGACAACAAAATCAATTCCATTTTAGGGGCATTCTAAAGAAGCCAGGCGAGGAAATCCACAGATCAGCACTGCATTTCACAGAGGCAGGAGGGCCATGCCGACAGCACATGTTGTCTGCTTCTTTAAGGTCCCAGAATCACATCTCTTTTTTGATTCTCTCACCAGTCATCTGGAAACTTGGCTGGGGCAACCGTCCTGGGGACGGTTGGGCAGATGGACTCCCCCCCGCCCAGGTCCTCTTTGTCCCTTCCTTCTGCAATCGTCCGTTCATGTTGTTTAGGCGTGAAAGGCAGGTTTTGCCTTCTGCCTCCTCTTCCTTATTTCAGACGATGGGTTGGCTTTCGTGCCAAGACCTGGAGCAACCAGGCAAAAGAGTTGGTCCTAATTGCATACCCTGATGGTGGGAGGAGGGTGTCACTGTGAGCTCTTCAAAGAGCTCAAGGGAAAAAAATCCAAATGTGACTAGCAAAAAACATCCCCACAGAAGCACACTGAAATAACCCAGGAAGCCCCCAAATCACCAAAGAAGGAGAAAGCAAGCCAGATGCAGAAATGAAGCAGAGAGCCAGAAAATCTTCCATTCTCCACAATGCATGCAAGCCAGTGCTGAGTGAAGGATCACAGGACCTGGCTAGCCAGGGAAGAGATACAGCCGCTCTGCATGTGCCTCAACACTGTCAGCCCTACAGCATGGGCATAAAGTCTTCCAAACAAGTTTGC